TATAATATAAAGAACCAAAATATACTATTAAATAATATTTTAATAATAAGTAGCAAAAAATCACAAAACAAAGAGTGTCATTTAAAATAAAGATAATATATAAAAAAATAAGTTTGCTTAATAATGACGGATATCATACAAGTAGATTCTTATATTCTATCACCTTATAGAGACCTTGTTTTATCTTTTAAATCTTTTACTTACTTTTTAGTTTAAGTCTATTTATAATATAATAATCTTAATATAGCTATCTTTGCCTTATAAGCTTCAAATATCCTTGCTTGTTTTTATGACAGAAAAATTTCTAAATGTTGTAAGATATTATTAATACAAAAAATCAAACATGAATATTTAGAATTTATAGAAAGGTAACTTTTACCTTTAAAAACCAAGTTAGTAGAAATATTTGTAAAAGATCATACAAATCTAGTAGTATTTAATATTATAAAATTTTTAACTAATTTTCTTATTTTAGAATTATTGTTGTTAAAAAAATATAATCTTTAGATAGATAAGATATCTTATTGTTTCAAATTTCTTCTTATCTTATATATATGTATATAAGTAAAAAATAAAAATATATCATATATTTAAAAAAATAAAATTTGTGCTTGTAAGAAATAAGATATTTATATAAGTTATAAACAAAAAATATATTTTTAAAAAATTTATATAACACCAAGTATTCATTCAAATAGAGGTTGTAGTAGAATCTTGAAACATTATAGAGAATATTAAGATGTATTGAAAAAAATAATTATTAATGTGTTATCAAAATACTAATCATATGATTATGCAATATATCTTTAAGAAAGAACTCAACCACCTTTTGCACCTATTTACAACTTGTTGCAAAATAAAATTATTGCTTTGAGAAATTACAAATATATTGATAAAAATCTTTTAAAATTTACTTTATTTAATATCCAAAATTTTCTATAGATATGCCCATCTTCTTTGTGAAGAAAAAAGATGGATCCTTGCAAATCTATGTAGATTATTATGGACTCAATAAATTCAATATTAAGTATTCTTATCCCTTATTTTTATTATTAAAGCTTTTGAATTACTTGAATAAACTTAAGATTTTCACTAAGATAGACTTACAAGACGTTCTTGATTTGTTATATATTTAATAAATAAACAAATAGAAGATTATATTTTAATTTAGACATGGCTACTTTAAACATAATGTCCTATAGGGTTACAAATGCGGGAACATATCCATTCTTTATATTACACAAGGAACAGATTGGTAGCATTCAGGTAGATGGGTTACCTGTAGAGGGTAGTTCGTGAAGGCTGGTAAAAACTTCTGACCGCAGTACAGATGGAAGAAGATAACAAGGATCGGAATCGGAAGCAAAAAAGGAGTTGAAGCGGCTGCTTTCTTAACGGAGAACAAACCCATTAGGGTTGTGTTTGATGATTAGAATGATAATGATGTTGCGATGGATAAATGGCCAAAATGACGCTGCACGCTCATATCTGGGTTCATAAACGTTCATGACCTGGTCGAAAATCAAGACCAATTTTCAGCGCGACGACTGCATACCTACAGCGTAGGATTATCTGTTCGAAGTACGTCCTTCAGATATAAATTTATCTTCTGTACATCAAATATATATTTGAAACATCAAATGATGAGTCAGTTCTGATACCTTCTGATGTGTAACATCGTCCATACCAGAGAGATGACACCACTCGATCAACACATCTTTAGAGTTAAACGAGAAACACAAATAAAAATAGCCATATAAATTAGCATCGCACAACTTCAAAGAGGGATTCAAAGTTTAATCCTTACCTGATTTCGATACACAAGGTAGCCGAAAGCGAAAAATATGCACAGGAATGGTAGTATTAGAGGCGAGATGATTGCATAAACCAGACCGAGTAAAAAAAAAAAAAAAAAAAAAAAGACTCAATAGATCCAGAATAACTGTGTGATCAGGCGGCGAAGCAGGAAGAATTTTCATTTGATCCTTCTCAGATTGTACGAAGATGACATGGGCAACATGATACCTCAACAATGGACAGAGCCGAAGAATCTCAGCACCAGTGTTTGCCCATCCATCCACCAGTATATATGTCATAAAAAAAGTAGCTTTAATCGGAATTGAAATTCCAAAAGCCTTGGGTATTCATATCAACATAAGCACAAACGAATAAATAGAGATAAAAACAATCACAAGAAGCACCCTGTGCTGCAGAGAGCTATTGAAATCCCAAAAGTTCAAACAACGATGGATTTTTTTATCAAAGCTGTAAATTCTGAGTTTTATGATGAGCTAATATGCATGTGTCAGTCGAATTAGCATAACATAAAAAGCTTAGAAGGGTGGCGTGGCTCACGTTGTTGGTGCTGCAATGTACTGCTTCAGCTGCTCAATCAGAGACCCGATAATAGCATTACCAAAAAACACGTGTACCAACACAAATACATAGTTCTTCAAAGCCGCATACTTATCTATTTTGAATATGAAATGTGGCCTTCAAACTTCGTAAGTATTCTTAGTAGCGGAGGTAGACACTTTACAGTAACAATTCTCAGAAGGAGCCTCGGAAGATAGCCTTGAAAGAAGGACCTAACGATGTTCCTGTAGGGTTCAAAACATACATCAGAAGCCAACATTCTTTGAACAGGAACGAAAAGGAGGAAAGAATTTTTGTTAGAACCAACAAAAACTTGACGGAGTAGGGTCACTGATGCTGAGAAGTGGCATTCATTAATCGACAACAACAACTAGGTGAGGTAAATTTATCAGTGGAACATGGGCTTGAGGAATGGGAAATACTTGATGAGAGTGTCAAGATTTGCCAATGATTGCACGAATGCAACCGGAATAAAGAAAAATAGTATGAGGGAGACCACGACTATATTCACTACGAGGCGGTACGCGTTCAATTGCATGCAAGTAAGAGTCTGACTTCTCCAATAAACATCACGAGGCTCGGGAGCCCACTCTGTCACTCACTCCATACGATCTCTACTTTGTTGGGTTTGCGCACAGACTGAGGCTCCCCAGCATGTGTTAAAGGAGACAAAACCAGCTTTCATAACATGCTCTTCGCGACATAATACGTTGGTAAGCTCACCCTAAATCTGTAACAGAAGACAACGGCAAGATATTTTTCAGGTTCTCAAAGTGATGCTATGTAAAATTCAAGGCACAAAAGAGGACAATAAATGGAGTAGCTCAAAACTGGTGAGGGTTCACTTAATAATCAATCTGCATCACCCTCATCTTCTAGGAACTAACTGCAAGCTTATGACATTGCTGAGCGTCCACAATGACGTTCAACTATTTTAGAGTAAAAGAATTATCAGTTTACAGAATGTCCTTAAGTATTTGTCAATAATGATTATTATATATACTCGCCTCTTTTTGTAGCCGAACAATCTGGCCTGTATAAAATGCAACAGCATCTGATTTCGCCACGCATAAATGGTACCAGTGCTTTTGCAATGTGAAATATCAACCATGAGATACATGATCGTGTACAAAGTAATCAAGAGTCAATGGTCCAATATAAATCGTCACTTCATTCACATCCAAAAAGTGTTGAAAGAAATTGGGGCAGTTGGTAATTGAAGCCTGCATTCACGACAATAGCCTACTTGAAATTTACCTTAACTATAGGCCGAGGAGCATGAGGAAAAGCAACTAAGTGTTTGTTGATTAGATCTAAGTCACCTTGATATTTCTCCAATTTCTTTACGAGCTTTGTCAGTTTCCTAGCATCATATAAACCTGCAGCATATATAATGCTCTTCACGAATTGTCTTGAGAAGGTACTGAAACTTAAGACCAAGACAAGATGATTGGAGAGAAGCGGAATGATTGACAAGCTGACACTAAAGCTACATTTCAAAAGTTGAATATTCGAAGCACATGACAAACAGGACATATCTCGCAAGCAACCTTCCACTAACCAGAGAGAGATGGAGGGAGAGAACCTAAGATATCGACCCTTATCCACAAATAATTTCCTCACTGCAAATAAGTAGAATTGGAGGGCACGTGATCTCTGAAAAAGCTGCATATGATGATTTTGACAACAAAATTGAACAAAAATTTAATATCACGCAATGATCCAGTCATAACCCCGCAAGGCATGAGAGTGTCAACGATTTATGAATTTAGTAGCCGAAGGCGCATTGCATTCAAATAAGAGTACCTAGTGAGTACAATAATGGTCAGGATAAATTTCTTGGAAAAACTCCTGAATTTTCTTTCCCGTAGGTTTACTTTCGTCTTTGGGCACATGCCTTACCAACACCTGGATATGGCAAAAAGAAGATGTCTATGAATTTGATGAAACATTCTCATAAAAGTAGAGCGCTCAATGATCTCTCCTTCTCTAATACGCCAGGCAGATGATACCCAATCTAAAATATACGAATAGCTTCTCCAACTGGATTCATGTTGATTTTGATCGCTTGAAGTCACTAGATCATCCACATGCTCCACCTGACCTTCAAAGTATCGTCGTGGGTAATAGACCCGAAAATTCAAGGGCAACTTCTTTAGTACTACATAAAAAATCAAGGACGCCACTGTTACCACCACGTTGATCCACAGTGCCGTCAAGAGATCTTATTCTGTTGATTCTGCCATGTCAACATTGCATGAAATCAAAGGTCTTTCGCACGATCTCTTGTCTTTGTAAGGTAAAGAGTTTGGTGTCGATTCAGTGAAGTGAAATTGAAGAAGTCAAAGTCTTCCACGGATAGGTAAGCCGTCTAAGCTCAGGTCTGTAATTGTAAGCCATTTCTGCACTGCACATTGCAAATACAGCGATCCAAGTCCTAGTGATTAATGACCACTTCATAGCCCGTGCATATCACAATTTTGCTGCGAGCTTCAAAATATGCCATTAGCTGGCCTCTCTTTGAACATCAAATCAAGAAGCTGCAAAAGAATGAGGACATGAAGATGGTTTGAGTATGAGTTCTAGTTCTGCAGCTTTGGTGTAAACGCTAAAGAGGAGCACTGTTTCAACAACCATATCACAATCTTCACTTTATTGGATCTTGCAATTATGCGATCACTTTTGGAGTCACAAATACACGCTTTGATACAAAAGTGATTGGTCGTGCAGTAATCCAACTGGAATAATCTAAAACCGTACAAATCTAACTTCAAGGAAATACACTTCACAAGTAAAAGAATTCGGTGATCGAAATTGTCTTACTACTCCAAATTAAGAAAAAAATACACATTCACAACGGTAACCTGGCCCCAATTCTTAATGCCAGATCCAAATTGAGTATTTATCGACTCAAGTCCTAGCTCCAATTCGCTTCAAGTAGACCATCCTGAATCTCAAAGGGGCAACAAAAGGAGCGTACCATGGGTTGCCATCCATGTTTACGCTCAGCAATCTCGGTAGTATTGCGCATGAAGCCCTAACGACAGAGCTGACACGCCTACGCTGTGAAGATTGCCGTTATTGTTCACTTCCATCACATCTGTCACACGTTGAAAGATAGATTAATTTCCATGTCCATGGAAGGATGTAGGTATCTACACAATGAAGGCACCTGCTCATGCGTACGACCTTAACCTAAAGATGTTTCGAGCATCTGAAAGCTGGACTAAAACAACACACGCCATTAACTGCAGTTTTGCTGTTGCGTGCTTATCAGATGTAGAAGCATGGAAAAACCAGACATCCTCCAAACCCGCCAAACAAAATAATACACATACATGCTCCAATCTTCGGAAGCTAAATCACAACCAACAACACAAAACATGCACACACACACACACAGGCCCACGCTGTACAAAACTTTTGCAACACGGCACCGGCCTTAACTCCTACACATGCAAACATACAGCAATCGAACTGACATCAACCTTTGAGAGCAACTTCACACTCCACTCAAACCCCTCTCAAACTCCACTCAAACTCCACTCACGCTTCGATTACAAGCGCCACGTCTGCATGACAGCTTTCAACTGGCAACCCCACATGACATGAATCCGCCTTGCAGATTTGCATCGACAACTTCAATTTCACACGCCACATGGCTGCCTGATCATAAGCACCAACAACAACGCCCACTACCTGCAGGAGCAGCAACACGCCATTCATGCATCAAGCCCAGCCAGTGATTGGAAACTCGCAACTTCTTATCAGAGATCAGTCCTACGGAGCGGCGCAACATATAAAATGCACTCTATCATCTCCCTCGGGGTCTTGTAATGCCCTGCTGCTGCTGCTCCATCTGCTGCGAATCAGATTCCCACCCATCTATGGGAATCGTGGCGCATCCATTGTGTGTTTTCGGTAATGCAGTCCATGCGTTTTAAAATCAGGTTTGCGTAGGAATTCCTGGAGTTGTGAGGTAGATAGACTGAGTGTTGGGTCGTTGCTCATCCTGAGATAAATCTTAGACGCCCGGGTTCTTGCTGTATTGTTTGATGTATTAAATGCGAGGTGATAATATCCCATTAATGTGATGGTAACAACGACGTAAAATCAAAATACATTCGTCAACTGCAGGGTTCGAACCTGCGCGGGGTGACCCCAACAGATTTCAAGTCTGTCGCCTTAACCACTCGGCCAAATTGACAGATGCATCTACCACATAACGGCAAGAAAATTTGAATGATTTTCTCCAATCAATAGACTGACCAGATTACCTAAGCAAGCCTGTTCTTGGGATTACCGAATGGACAGCCCATTTCGGTTCGAGATTTCACTACAATACCACGGTGTTGCCAATGAGGTCCCTAAGCCCTAAACTAGGACTGTCGTCTGTAGTCTACAACTCAACCAAACCAGTGCCCAGAATCGCATGCCTGAGACAGAAACGTGAGAACAGAATGATGTATTATGTTTTGATAGCAGCAGCCAACGTTTTTTTTTTTTCTTTTTTTTTTTTGTTTTGAGGTTCGGATCCTTGACCAGCTTCAGGAACAAAACTTAGAGTTAAAGTGATACTTTGGAAATGCTACGCAGTCTCTTCAGTAGACATAGGGTTGTAAGCTCTGAGTGTATTACTTTAGGCTGGGGTTTCACGATGATTGGTCAAGCAGATGTTCTTCAACTTATCGGCAGCCTCTTCCTCCACTCCGTACTGCAAAACGTGAACAGGTTGTGTATACACAGAAATGCAGAATTGCGAGATCGATGATTGTCGGGTAATTATCTCACTCTCAACTGTGCTGACTCCAACCGCTTTCTCACAGCCTCATTCGATGGATGAGTGGCTGCCAAGGTTTTTATGGGTGGTCACCACTCCTTACAGACGTTGCTGACTTATTAAAGAGAAAAAAGAAAAAAACTCTAAACACCAGTACACAGTAGCACCAGTCCAGGAAACGTAAAGAAAGATCTCTAGCTCGCAACACAACCCAGGGAAATGCATGCAACAAAAAAACTCCACATAAACTTTCCGCATCTAATTCCTTCACGTCTAGACACCACAAAACGCAAAATGGCAAGAAAACCGACCATCTCTGCAATTTCAGTGTCCGTCGTGAATGCAAGTAAAACAAACGCCACTTAAGCGAGAACACCGACGCAAACATCGTACAAAGCTTGGAGGAGGGTCAGCGTACCTTCTTAAGAACCCAACACGTATGGTGATGAACGCGCGCCAGCAGCGACCGAATGGACTCAGGATCCTCAACTTCACTATACGTTACGAAATTCTCACGCGCATACTGGGCGTAGTAGCCGCGACTGGGAGGAGGCAACCGCTTCACAAGCTTCAGCACCTCCCTGTACGCCTGCTTCACAGCCTGACTCATGGTTCTCAATCCTCAATTCCAACTAACTCTCGGCCGCACCACGATATCAACCTCGCTCTCCGTCTATGTCCCTACAACTCGCTTCTTAGATGTCTGGGCGCTCTCTTTTACTTCTTAACAATGCCCAAGGTTGAAACATTCTTCAGAGACTGTGGAAGGGCTTGCACCCAAGGCCAATCTTCATCCACATTCCGTGCTCATCCCAATTTGGCATTACCTCCCTTCTGTCGACCTGCCACCGAACTAGCTGCATCCTGTGTGCTCCTGGTCGCCGCTATGGTATTGAGGGACGAAATAGTCACCGCTCATTGTGGACAGCCAAAGCCACCGCAAGAAAACTTATCTGATACGGCATGTTTGAATGGAAAATGAACAAGACGTGGTTTGACATCAAGGAAAAGTAGGCAGGATGAAAGAATGTAAGAGGTCCTGGATTACGAGAAAACTGCATTAGCAGCTGGCACAGCACAACTCAGCTAATGAAATCTTGTGATGTACGTAAACAGGTTCTTTCACTAGATTGTCAAGAGTGTTACATTAGGAAGGTGATGTTTTGAAATCTCCAGCTGCAAGGAACTAGAAGGATGCTTTACCACTAAGGAGATTGTAGATACTAAAAGGAATAGCACCCGTAAATTCTAAGATCTAATTCTGCTGACGAAATCTTAACATGATCGGGTTCCAGCTCACTAAATTCCGACGTGGGAGAACACCCATTGTCTTGAATGGCCTGATTGCATGTAGTTGAGACATTGAGAGGCTTGTAACTACTTCAACTACGGAAGAAACTATGAAAATTTATTCCTAAACTCACACTTGTAAAAACCATCTATTATTGCTGAGCATCAGGCATATTTGCTTGTGAGACCTTTTGATTTGGTGGAAGCTCCTCTTTCACCATTGTCCAAAATACTGCCGTATATCGGTTCTGCAAACAGAAAACATACATTGACTCGGAGATGCTCAATGAAATGTTCTGAAGTCTTCTAAATAACTCATGCCCCACTTTCTTAGCAAGTGAAAAAACGGAGGAACAGCTTTCTACGAATGTCCATCTCTAAATGTACCTGCATCATGGACCGACGATTGGCGGTGTATGTTGTTTCTATGAATCTCTCACTCTGCACATCCAGTGGCCAAAGTTTACAATCTACCAGTCAATATCTCTAACGACGAACTTCTGAAATATCTAAGACCATAGGTGACCCTCTAAAAGCATGATTCGAACGGGAAATGTGAATCTTACAAAAACAAAAACCCGGATATACTCAAAACATCCAATCCTAAAATCCTCAATCCTCCAACTTAAACCTCATAAACTAAAGATTAACATATTGCAAGCAAAAAACATCGAATAAGATATCTCTCGGCCTAATGCAATCAGTGACCATGTCTTCCTGGTGGCACGGACGAAGTAGATTAATGAAATTTCCAGCAAGACTTGTATACAGCAATAAAGACAGTGTGCCCGAAGCTGCATACCTTAAGAACTAAGCCGAACCTTGCAGCTACCTTTTTCACATCTTCCAAGCTGAGCTCTATAGACATTTCCTGCACCTCTAAATAAAGTTTGTGTTAACTAACAATGAGAAGTAAAACCTTCTGAATTTATAAAGCTATATTCAAGCGCTGAAATTTTTACGGGGAATGCCTAGTTGAAGGCCATGTTACGATTCCGCACAGCGATGTGGAACAAGAGAAATTTTTGAACTGGAAATTTAGCCATTCAGGCTTCGACTTAATAATCAAAAAATACATGCTACGTATTTTACACTTATGCAATTGATCACGTTCAAAAGAACTTGCATTCCTACTACAGTATAGATTTATCGCTAATGAACTTGCCACCAGCCAAATATATCGAGGCCGAAGAACTGACCTCTTCTGGAGAGTACGACTCAGCGAAATGATAAAGCAAGGGGCCCAAATTTATCCAGATCTGCACCATTTCATGTTAGATTGCCAATGTAGAAGCAAATACACGCCAACCATATCACATCCTGGTCATATCAACTCAATGTGAACAGAGGATTGACTCCTGAAACATACCCCGCCAGGCTTGAGACAAAGAGCTATCACTTCCAGGTACTCCACAATATTGTGAGCAGTGTCAATGAAGAAACAAGTTGCAACAGCATCCCATGCACCTGCAGTATCGTTCCAAGAACCATATATATATCAAACAATATGACACATAAATTCATAAAAAGAAACTTTTAAAATGGTGGGCTCAAATTAGCGTCCATCTGATTTCCGGGCATAACACCAGTTCACTGCAATTTGATAATTACACACCTGCCTGACTTGGATGACTGTAGACCTCAACAAAATCCCCAGCACACATTGAGAATCCCTCCGTTATCCCTGCACTGATCCACGATAACAACATGAGATAATTGCTCGCAGGAAGGCCTACAACAGTATCCTTAGTAAATAATCTTCGCGTGAAGGGCACTAGAAGCAACATTTAAGATGATGTCCTGGACCCATAACCTGGAAGCATAACAGTCACTTCAACAGTCTTGAAACTAGACAAATGTCTACTACATTCAATATCTAATTAAAATAACGAACCCCAAAGTCAAACAAGTAACACTAACCTTCCCGGATGAAGATCTGGGATGTATACAGCCCGCAATTGGTCGTTGTCTGACAAACTGTTGCAGTTGCTGTGCATCCATGGGTGTAGAGCCCATTCTAATGGCTGGTCAGTTCTGGTCCACCAACCACCCTAGTCAAAAGCTGTTCATATGAACTCTCTTAACACAGGTAGTGCGGGATTAGCAAAATTTCACAACTAAGCCTCTATATCAGCAACCTATTAAAAGCAGATGCATTCTAAAAACATATTTATATGAACAGAGATGTGCATATCCAAACTGCAAAGGAAATTAAGAAAAAAAAGTGAACAGACTTACTGGTTTAGAATAAAGCTGGAGCATATAAGCATGTAATATGAGAACTCGTTTCCTTGAGCGATAAAACCTGTATTAAAGAAGCAGATACATATAGATAATGAAAATTTTAGAGGAAAGTAAAATTGAGGAAAGAAAGCATTAATGCAAATAATTCAATCTTGCTATGAGCCCCCCAGCTACTTATCTGAACCAAAATGAAAATGAAGCAATAGTGAAATAACATACCAAGACGAGAAATTTCACAGGCCAACCGACCAAGTCCTGCTCCAGGAACCAAGCAGGTAGGGCGATGTCTGACAAGCAGAAATTCTAAACCATTTACTTTCAACTGCTTTATATAGCTGGAATGATGCTTGTACTTAACATCACAGCTTCCAAATTCACAAGGCTGAGATCTTTCAAAAAGAGATAACTGTTAACAATGATAAAAATCACTTAAACATGCCACTGGTCACCTACCTCAGATCCTTTCGATTAGGAAATAAGCGGTGGAGCTCCTCTAATATTGGCTGATAGCACTGCTCTCGTTCAAGTGAACCCTGACAAAAACGCAGGAGAAAAATTAGCGGTGAAGGGATAGGCTATGCAAAACATAGCTAAATGGATCCAGGTATGAAAGATTGAATGAACATCACCAAACTTTAAGTGGACTCAATGTTCGTGAGTGAGAAAAATTTGGCCAATGGAAAATGAAGCTACCTCTTCACCCCAGTCACGAACAATATTTCGAATAATACAGCGCACCTGGAAACAAAACCACCCAGGACCGCTTGATTCGCAAAATTTACGAGGTATACCAAAAGTATTATGTACATTCGATTGAGAACGAAAATCAGACCTTTGATTAATGCATCATGTTACAAATATCAAGTTGACTTTCTAAATTTCAACAAAGAAACAGGAAAATAAGTAAGAGTAAAGAGCATTTCAGACCTTGTCAACGTCGGCAGAAGGGACATGAAGCTGGAAGAATGGGTGACTCAGATCAAGAGGAACACGCCCCTAGAATGCACAGAACAAAGTGAGATATTTCAACATTATTCCACAGTAATCAATCAACTCGCCTATAGTAGACACATGAAATGCAAATAAATTAGGTTAGATCGCGTAAATTGACCTTAAACCCGGCATTCCTTAGTATCTGTAAATATCAGATTCAAAGCAGTAACGTTGGTTATCGTGACAGCTCATCCACAATTGACAGACTAGAATGACGAGTTTGAACGTAGAAAGAGAGAAACTGCGACAATTACGGGATTTAGTAAACCCACACATTCGCGAATGACATGAAAATGGATACCTGTGGAAAAAGTTTGGGAGACCCACTTGGGTGACCGTTCTCAGAGTTCTCTTTAAATGTACTCTCATAGTCTGTTTCATCATATGATAAGTTGCCATTCGCTCCTGCCGCTGCATTATGCTCCTTAGATAGCGCTTCGGATCGAGTGCAAGTCCAGTCATCACAAGAACGGACTGGACCTCGGGTGCCAAATGCATTAAGTTCAGGAGTTAGTAAATCCGTTTTGGGATCCTTGGCACTGAACTCTATAGCTTGCCGCTTGTTGGAGTTGGCAGACGTAACGGCGGAATCTCTGGATGGGCTTGAAAATGACTGAACTTCAATTGTGCTTTCATCCTCTCTAGAATACACACAGAACCAGCTGCATTAATTCTTTAGCTCAAAAGCCAATATTTCGTGAGGAATAAGAAATCGTCATAACTCAAAAAGACTGGTTGACCCAGCTTCACAAGTAAGATAAATATACCTTCCGCGACATCCAAAGCCCTCATGTGAATGCATCATTTTATCAGATTTTTGAAAACCGGATAATGCCTCATCAAAATCAGGGCCTGGTCCAGCATCCATCTCAAATGGAGGATCAAATGCCTGCGAAAAAGGATTAACATAAGAAATCTATACCTAATAATTTCTGCATTGATAGTCTACCAGATGATCATTGATTAAATTGAATTCGTATATTCGGTTGATTCTAGCCTAGGTTGAATCGTCAGCATTGCGAACCAGGGACCGCCAACAGACGAATCTGGTTCCATTACCAGAAAAGTTGCCATCCTAATCAAACCTTTGTCTCTTTCTGTATAAAAAGATAAGATAGATATTCAATCAAGAACCTAGCTGAACTGGTCATCAAAACCCTAAGCCTTGCATTGAAAACGTCTCTGAAGCAGTTCCAACGTACCTGAAGCATATTCATAATAAAATATGTATTGGTCTTGACACACCTGCAGATCATGCTTAAATTAATTCTGCGGGCTTCATGTTCTAGCGCATGCGATACTTCAGATTCAAGAGGAAAATTGTCATAAAAATTCATCAAAATTGAAGTAACGGTTCTTAGATGTTTCGAGGAACGGACATCAACTAATTTGATATTGAAAGGTACAAACAATCGGAAGGAGGATAACTACCTCCTTAAATTCTCGTACTTCTCAGGCATGTGAGGTAGCAATGTCTGTCCAAGAATGGGGAGAAGATAAATTAAAGCTCGAAAGCAACTGTGCCTGCCTAATGCTTGGATACAGATACAGTAGAGCAAAATAGTCTTAAACGAATAAGAAAAAAGAGATATAACTGACTTCGCCATACCATGTGATCCGGGCTCAACTTCATGTACGACCGCTCCCATCGTCTTATGTCTTCTTCCGCTGCCGCTGGATAACTGCACATGTGCCGAAATTCTGCATTTAGAGGAAAATAGTGCGGATCAAAGATTATTCAAACAGTTTCCGCGTTCCCAAAAACTTCATTAGGTGCAAACGTAACAAATAGAGACGTACGTAATTCTTAGACGGGCTAGGAGATCATCCACAGTATCAATTTAAGTCCACAAAAGTATGAAGTTTTAACTCGAAAAGTCCAATGAAGACTTAAGAAAATTGAGGTTGTCACGGAACCAAGCTATCAAAAGCTAGAATCTATCGCAAATCCTCATATTTACACCCCAGGACGAACAAAACATCTCCACATAACCATGATAGAGTTCTCACCATCAACACAGAATTCAGACTTCAGAAAATTCATTCTGAACTGCCATCCTAACTACATTTTCGACAAAACCGGCAATCAAACTCTAGAATTCAAGTAGAAAAAATAAATAAATAAATAAATAAAAAGCTCAGTAATTCGACCAAGGCCTATATACTCACTTGATATAGGCACTGATAACGCGACGCAACGCCTGAATCTCCAATTCCTCGTCCAACTTGCTCATTGGCTGGCCCATCGGTGGCTCCATCACAGCTATCACCAAAGTAAAAATAAACAAACAAACAAACAAACAAACACGACCAATGCCAATGCACACGGGGACGAGATTGCTGCACAGCACGCGCAGGCAACCTTAAAGAAAGAAGAGAATTAGAAGGTGATGAATCCCAAAGACAGAGGAAGCAGAGGTAGCAGGCAGGGGTAAGGGACAGAGAGGAAGGGAGATGAAAGAGGGAGAGAGAAAGAGAGAAGATGAGAATCATCAGATGAGTCCTAATCCTCCGCAGATGACACTCGCAAACCCCGCACTACACTGTGACATTGGAAACACACTCGCTCATTCACTCACTCACTCTGCCCCTCCTAAGTTAGCAGAGCAAAGCAATGCCGTAGCACCATCACCAGCACAATCGAATAGGACAACAACAACAGCAGGAGGGAGGAGCAGTAGGGGGTTTGCTTCCCCACTCCCTCCCAGCCTCCCTGCCTGCCGACGATTTCGTTCCACTCCACGACGTTCGTCCGACGGACATGTGACGTCGTGTGGGTCGTGACGGAATCAGCTCTTTCGTTCGCTGACTTCGCCTTCGCATTCTAAGGGTGGTGTCTGACGTTCCAAGTATGAAACACTACTCCCCTTTGTCCCTGTGGAACTTAAGAAAAGAAATCGAATTGTGATTATTCAACTATGACATACACTAGTGAATAGTTGTTAAAAGAATATACAAGAAGCAATACAAGATTCTTTGAATGAATATATGGAAGAGGGATTAGCATACACAACAATGTTGTCAAGGCTAAGATGGAGTACCTTGCTGAACACATTATTATTTCTTATTTTTAGAAAGAAAATATATTTAAAAAATATGATAAATTATTATTATAAATTAAAAATAAAGCTCAAAGTATTAACAAACTTTAGAACCAAAAAATCTCCAAAGAAAAAAATATATATTATAAAATTAAAAATTAAAAATCTATATATATATATATATATATATATATATATGCACATTGAGATAATAGATATCTAATTTTAATATAAAAAATCATGATTTTACTTTTTTTAATTTTTAAATAAATATTTAAATATTAAATATTAAATAAATATTAAATAAATTACTTTTAATTTTTTAATAAGTTGTAATTTCTATTAGGCAACTATTAGAATATAAATTTAAGAATAATAATAATAATAATACCATAGATCTTAGATTTTGACTTAACTTTGGATGCAAAAATAAATAGAAGATATTAGTATAAGTAATTAATATTATTATAAATAAATAAAATAGAAGCTATTACGTAATAAAGAATTGAATTAGATTTTTAATCTTTATACTTAAGATTTATTTAATTTACAAGTTGTAGTAAAGTATTAGCAAGGCTTGTTCTTGATTGTATTCCAAACTACATTGAACTCTTGGAATTTTGGAAGAATTACTTTTTATCATTAGTTATTGCTATTATCAATTAAACAGTAAGTCAACTTGTAAGTTATATGGATAATTCTTTATATATCTTTGATAGCATAAGTTAATACCATCTAATATTTATTGGTACTTTTACATATTTTATGGCAAAAAAAGTTATTGATACTGTACTATTTATATAAAAGGGAAGTAATAAAAAAAAAAAAACTTATTTAATTTTTTAAGTATACTTGTTATTGCATTCAATGCAAAAATTTATTTAGATAAGAATATTATATATTATTAGTAGTAGTAATAATAGATTTTTTGATTTTTTAGGTATTAATAGATATATTATTTTTGTATAAGAAATAAACATTTTTAGGACTACAATATTAATGAAAATCAAAAAATTCAAGCTATCTTAAATAATCATGAAGAATATAATGTAACAAAAAATTAAAGGTGACACTAACTAACAAGAGTGTAATTTGGTAAGTATCACTATTTGTTTAGACTTAAATGCCAAGGTTTAAAGGAATTTGTAGCATAATTTTAATTATTCTATATATTTATTTATTTTATATAATTTGATAATATGTAATACATGTATATTCTTATAAGAGCATGACATGGATAAATAATTAGAATAATATTTATGCAATAGGTTTGCATTTTGAAGTACATATTTTTGCAACAAGATAGATTATAAATATTGTATGGAACATATATGACGGTCATATTGTTGCTATTAAATTTGCAATAGTTTATTTAAACCATACAAAGGTTAATCTTATCATAATTGATTTTAAAATCTTATTTTATAAATATTTTAAAATATATTATTATCAATTCTTGTAATATTTTTATATGCAAAGGCTTTAATATTTAAGAAAAGTACCTATTTAAAGCTTCAAAAGTAATAGAAGAAATATGTTCTAGTGCTTATAATGCATGGAATAAGTACAATTGGCAATGTTGTGTACATTGTAACAAAGCTTACTAAAAATTATAAACTTGGAATTGATAAGTTTTGGATTGAACTTGCTTCTATTATAGATCTTATTTCTTTGTTTCAAATATTAAAAAATATAATAATGTTCTAAATATATTCGATGCACAATTTGTAAAAGATTTTTACCTTAAAAGTGGTGACAACATTTTTTAAAGTTTTGAATGCTATTCATGTTTTTTGTATGTTTTATGGAGATGTTTGATAAGACATAATTTGTTATGGATATACATAGATATTCTAATAAATACCTATACGATTAAGTAGAAATAGGCAAAAGTAGATAAAAGTAGATTAATTTCATAATAACTTTTAGAAAAGCTTCTCAAAAGCCTTATAGATGCTACTTTGACTTTACATGTGTTTGTAGTTGATTGATAGATTAAAAACTTATTCAACAAGTTAACCACGTATTGATAGCTTGTCGAACAAGCTAACTATGTGGCTTAAATATAAAAAACTTGGCTTTCAAGTTAAGATATGTATCTTGCAAAGTCAATACATTTTTGGAGGTCCTATAGAACATTGCTATATAAATCCTAGATAAATAGTATATATAGAGGCAAGAGTGAAGTCTTCTTTACTCTTTCCAATGCCTTTCTAGTCTTTAGTCTTATTTCTAGACTTTCTAGTCTTCTTATTTTTGGGAATAGCTATTCTAGTTCAATAATCTATCATATTTGAGTGACTTTTTGATTCTTTTCAGTATCACAAGAGTATATTGGAGATTTTTTTCTTTGAAATCTATATCTTTGACAGTTTGACAAGAATTCTAACTTGTTGTTTTTATCTTATTTTAAAAGTGAGTGGATTACTCCACTTCTATTCTTGTATTTTAAAGCTTGCAGACTATCTACCTTTAAACAAAAAATCTTATTTTCTAATACTAATATTTTTCTTAAAGAGAGTGGATTATCTCTTTTTATAGAAATTTTTATTTGATATTAGAGATTACAAATTATCCTCCTCTAATTTAACTTTTTGAACTTGTTTGAGTTCTATATAGAAAGAAAGATTATGGATGCTACTCTCAATAGAAGTGAGAATAGATTTGCAACTATTACACATCTTCATAAGCTTGTGAATACTTTAAGAGTAAAAATCTCATGTATTTTCAATGTGAATCATAGAGATACTATTTCTATGCCTATGTCACGGACATAATCATGTAAGCTAGTAATTACATATACAAATAGGTAGAAGTAAGTAAAAGTAGATAAAAGTAAGTTAATTCTATAGTATTTAATATAGAAGCTTCTTAGAAGCTTCATAGATGCTGCTTTGACTTCATAGGTGTCTTTAATTGACTTTTTGGATTAGAAACGTGGTCAACAAGTTGGCCATGTACCACACATGTTGTTAGCTTGAAGATCAAGCTAACTATGTGGCCCACACGTAGAAGAACTTGCCTTGTAAGTCAAGGCATGTGTCCTACAAAGTCAACACATATTGGAGGTCCTATAGAACGTCACCACGTAGCCCCTAGTTAGATAGTATATATAGAGACAAGAGTGCACCTACAATATCAGAGCTTTGTCTAATCTTGATTAAGAGTGGATTACTCCTTTTTCTTCATAAGATATAAGCATATTAGAAGTTGTGGATTACCCTCTTCTAAACTGATATTGTCCTTAGTATTTTCTTTGTTCTCAAGTCCTCTCTTCTATTTGTCTTGAGCGATATTAGACATCTTCTCTCTTCTAAGTATTATCATGGCAGAACTTGTTGAAATGAAGAATGCAATGGCACAAATGCAAGAACAATTGAGGGAGTTAATGCTTGCGATGCATCAACTCAATTTACCACCACAAGGAGCAACAAGATTGGCAAGAAGTGAAGATATAGAAATGGTTGGAACTGCTTCAATATCTGCACCAAATCATGTCCTTTTTCTTATGGTGGAACACCCTTCAAATGTTAGAGAACCAAGAATTGTCCTATCCGAGAAGTTTGATGGCACCAGATCCAAGTTTCGAGGATTTATCAATCAAATGCAACTTGTGATTGAACTTCAACCCCAAAGCTATCCAACTCCAGGATCGCAAGTTAAATTCATTGGTACGCTTCTTTCAGGTTCAGCATTATCGTGGTTTTCATCTTTTCTTGAATGACGAGATCCAATAATAGATAATCTAGAGACTTTTTTGGCGGAGTTTTGATCTATGTATGGAGAACATGATGCAATTCGTGTTGCAACCAATAAGATCCGTATTTTACGACAAGACAATCGATCAGTAACGTTATATGCTTCATAATTTTGACAACTTGCAACTGATATCAAGTGGGTGATGCTGCACTTATTAGCCGATTTCTCTACGGATTACAATATGAGGTAAAAAAATTAATGCTCAACTTACGTGATCCTCAAACATTGAGTCAAGCAATTGACTTTGCTCTGAAGTGCGACAATCGCCTTTTTGAATTCCGATCTGAGAACCGTACAAGTAGACCTCAACATTACTATAATTCAATGGCAATACCAGCACCTATTCAACACATACATTCGGAAGTAGAGGATATACAAATTGATGTAGTACGTTTCAAACCTCTTACTGAGCAAAAAAAGACTCGTCGTCGTCAAGAAAGATTATGTTTATAATATGGAGAACCAAAGCACATTGCTCAACATTGTCCAAAGAAACGACGCAATTACAAAATGAGGAGTATGGCTGTGAAAGAAGACAATATGTCAGAAAACGAGTTTGTCCAGCTACAATAGGGACCGTGTGATTGGAACCTTGCACAACATCTAGTAAAGGTCCTATTTTCTCCTCAGAGCCCTCTCTTTGTTTTACATTAAATGTTATTTTAGGACCTAAACATTACAAAGTCTCTGCCTTGTTAGATTCAGGAGCCTCAGCGTGTTTTTTAGATGAAGAATTTACTAAAAGACATAGCATATCTTTAGTAAAGAAAACTAAACCTGTTCATGGAGAAGTCATAGATGGTCGTCCATTGTCTTCTGGAGATATTACTCACGAAACCCTTCTTATAGAAGTAATAATCAATG